GCAAGTTCATTTACACTTCAAATGCCTTGTACTAAGATGCTTTTAGTTCATCTTTAATAAAGAGATGTGACCTCAGACCAGTGTTCTTTAATTGGGAATCAGACATGCCATTACAGGAATATGAGGTTACCAATGCATTCTTTCATTCACTCACTCAATCTCTCTTGACTTACATCTCAAAACCCCTCAGATTAGCCCGTAGAAATACACTCATTTAGCTAGTCAGAGTTCATTCCAACTCACAGCAGTCTTGTAGGACAGGAAGAACTGTTCCTGTGGACTTCCAAGATTCCGAAGAGGACATGTGACAAGGGATATCATTTCTGTGATCACCTGGATCTTGGCTGAGCAGAAAATATCAGAAATGTGTATACTTGTGTTTTATTGACTATGCAAAAGCATTGAACTGGGTGGATCATAACAAACTATGGATAGCCTTTAGAACAGTGGGGATTCTGGAACACTCCGTTGTGCTTATGTGGAACCTATACATGGATCAAGAGGCAGTTATATCCTCTCACCATATTTATTCAATCTGTACGCTGAGCAAATAATCAGAGAAGCTGGACTGTGTGAACTCTATGAAGAATGCAGCATCGGGATCGAAGGAAGGGTTATTAACAACTTGAGACACTCAGATGGCACAACCTTGCTTGCTGAAACACTTGGTGATGAAGATCAAGGACTGCAGCCTTCAGTTTGGATTACAACTCAAGCACCCCAAAATCCTCAACACCAGAACATCGTGATAAATGGAGAAGAGACTGAAGTTGTCAAGAATCCCTCTTGCTTTGACCCACAGTTAAGGCTCATGGGAACAGCAGTCAAGAGACCGTGGTGCACTGCACTGGGTCAATCTGCTGCACAGACATCGTTTGAAGTGCTGAAAGCCAGATGTTACTTTTAGGTGTAACGCACGCCTGACTCAAGACAGGGTGTTTTTTCAGTCGTTTCACATGCATGTGGAAGTTGGACAATGAGTAAGTCTGATCAGAAAGGAATCAATGCATTTGAGTTAACATGTGAGGGAAGAATACTGAAAGTGGCACCGACTGCCAAAAGAAATCCGTCTTGGAAGAAGTACAGCTAGAATGCTCCTTGGGAGCAACGATGGCAAGCTTCGTCTCAAATACCTTGCACTTTGCACATGTTTTCAGGCAAGAAGGACATTAAGTGGAGGGGCACTGAAGTACATTGGTAAAGGGGAGGGGCACTGAAAAAGACGAAGGCCCTCCACAAGATGTACTGACAAGTGGCTGCAGCAATGGCCTCAAACGTAAGAAATCGTCAGGATGGCTCAGGGCAGTGCTTCCTTCTGTTGTGCAATGCGTTGCTAAGAGTCAGAGCAAACTCAATGGGACATGACGAAAACGGCAGCAGCTAGTGAGAGGAAATTCTGCAAGGAACATAAAACCAGTGACAGAGGAAGAAACGCAGGGAGGGGAGAACGTGTGACAGTCATACCCAACCCATCTGAGAGACTCACACCAGCAACTTACAGCCTCCAGGTACAGCTTCTCCCAAAGCATGAGGCCATCAGTTGACTGGGATTTATTATTTTCCCCTCGACTCACGTCATTTAACCTGTGCAAGAGCTGCACTTTCTATTATGCCCATACCATCCAAACAGAATGCCTTTAATGCCATGTTTCTATCTGCAGACACACGAAATACTCTCTTCTCACCCCTAAAACAGTCTTTTCCTAGATCCCTGCTTCGGTCTGTTGCCTTTAGCATCTCTCCCTCTCTAATCTGTGACTATTTTTTTAATTTCCTCATCAGCAATCAGATTATGGGTAGCTTATCTCTGTGAACAGATCTGGAAGGAGGGGGATAATGCATCCTGATCTCTGTATGTACAGTACAAATCTTTTGTAAAGTGACTACCACAAACAAATCTAAGGATTTTTTTCTTTTTTCTTTAATAAAATTAGTCTAAAATATAAATAAATCAGATGCTATACTCAGCAACTCTTCTGCTCTTTTCCATCCTCATGATTCTACAGCCAAGAAAGACTTCCTTCTGAATGCAAATTTCAAGATATGAAACTGTAATGCACAATTAACTCTGAAGTGCTGTTTCGGTTCCTCTTTGGTGTGCATTGACTATGGTTTATGTACAAGGTTATGTCAAGTTTTCTCTGGCCATCAGATGAGCTTAGAAAACACTCCCACATTCCACATATAAAGAGCCTTATGTCGACTACAGCTCCCTAATTTGCTGAAAACATTTGAAGAAAAACAAAAAACAAAACCTCCAGAGCTATTGCAATAGTTGTTGGGGAGAGGACTGCAAGCAGTATTTGAAGATGACACCACAGACTGCCCCATATTTCAGAGTTACTAGATCTGAACTGGGTGTTTGTTGACACGTTTTTCATTGTCAACCTAACTCAGGATAGTTCACCACACTCGGTAGGATGTCGCAGACCCTGACCCCCAATGACTGCCAGTACAGTAAGGGGGGGAGTAGAGGGGAGGACACTCAGAGGCTAGCTTCTATCTTGAAATGTTTCATGCTTCATAACGGAAAAGTTAAAGTGTTATATTTAGCATTGACCTGGGCCTTTTAGTTGTAGCCACTGTTGGCTATCTAATGTAACTCTACATATTTATTAATTCTTTCTCCTGACCTGCTTAATAACTTGGAAGTTATTAATAGTAGCGTCATCTAAAACTACTGAGTTAAGATACCCAGGAGTAAAGAGGGAACTGGAAGTCATACCTGCCTGCCTGCCAGGTGACTTAGAGAGTTAACTCGTGAACATTTGAAAAGCCAGTTCCTTACAGCACAAGCTCCTGTCAATACTTCACTTCTAACATTAAGATTGGCCTGACTCCTAAAGAAAGTCATGAAAAACAAGTAAGACACTGCAAATAACATATTTAAGTCTGGGGAAAGGGAAACAAAAAGTGGACAAAGTCTACCAAGGAGACTCGTCTGACTTGGGGATGAATTCTAGTAATTGACAAATATATGTCATTCTGTGTAACATTCTTAAAAAAAAAAGATCTCAGCACTGAAAATGTAAACCTAAAGTGAATATAAGTAAAACAATTTGTTAAGTTTAAAATGATGTTTACGTCAAAATAATTAAAATCCTAGCAGAAGTAGCAAGCTCATTAAAACTAGAAACAGCAGCTCATATAAAAAGTTTTGAGAATGATGATGGCAACAAATGTATAAATGTGCTTGACACAATGGATGGCTGTATGGATTGTGATAAGAGTTGAACGAGCCCCCAATAAAATGATTAAAAATATTTTTCTTTCCAAAAAACGCACTCCACTCCCATCTCAACTCCCAGCAACCCTACAAGACTGAGAAGAACTACTCCTTCGGGTTTTTCCAAGACTCTAAATCTCTATAGGAGTAGACGTCTTCACCTTTCTCCTGTGGAGCACCAGGTGGGTTTGAACCACTGACCTTTTATGGTTAGCAGCTCAAAAGGTCTAGAAGTCTTTATACCTGCCCCCATCCCTAAAAGAGCTACTCAGGTGGGGGGTGGGGGAGATGTCTAGGATGCTATAGAGTAGGGGTCCTCAAACTACGGCCCGCCGGCATTTTTGCCACCGCTGCCTGTCCTGCTTAGCAGCCGACTCGTCCAGTGTGCATAGGAATTTGTTCATATTTGTTAAAAAAAACTATAGTCTGGCCCTCCAACAGTTTGAGGGACAGTGAACTGGCCCCCTGTTTAAACAGTTTGAGGACCCCTGCTATAGAGCAATAACAATAAAGACTGCAAGAAGGGCCTAAAACTCTATGTTGCAAATGATCTAAGTCAACTACAAGTTGAACAGTTGACAATGAAGCCCAGAAAAGCCAGGTGACTGGCCCAGGATTACTGAGATTTTAGGCAGAGCTGGGGATCCAAATCTAGGATCAGGATCCAGACAAACAGAGCATCATCAACCCTCAACTCTCTTCAGCATTCACCTGCCCTCTCTTGTTCAGAAACAGATAAAAATAGAAATGAGGAAAGTGAAATTTCTTATCTGATGACTCAAATGTATTTGCACCACATTAACCATGACCTCTTGCTCTACAAACAGATCTCTTTAATTGAGCAGACAGCATGTGATCCAACACCCACAGGAGGTCTTCCACACTCCACCCCACCCTTCCTCTCTCATCTATTGGGTTCACACACTAGAGTATCAATTTATTCCCTTTCTATTAAAGAATAATAAAAGACTTTTATAGGACCAAAACTAGGTCCCGATAACTTTAAATCAAGTCAACAAGCATACATAGGGAGTAAACAGTTTATGGGTCAAGAGGGCAGCATGTTAATTGGAAGAAAACATCTATTAAAAAAAAAAAAAAGAAGAACCCCAAACACCATGTGAGTGATTTTACAAACCTTTACATTTACCGTGAAAGCTTAGCCTTTGCATGTCCGTACTACTTACGGTTTTTGAGGTAAATGTAATTCTCAAAGGATTTCTCCTTTTGAGTGATGTGCTAGTGTTTCACTTAAAAGAACTGCTACTGATGAAATTAATGAATTCTCCCAGACTGAATGGGAAAATCAACCTGAAGGATTACAGTAAGAATAAGAGGTAAAATGGTATCCTTCTCAGATAAGCTCCATGAATAGAATATGTTCATCACAATCCCGTCATCCCCAGAGGAAGGCTTTCCAGACGACTGGGCTCTCCCTCACACCACCCTGGCTTCTAACAGTCCCGCATACTCTCGACCGTTACTTACAATCTTGGACACAAGGCAGAGTGTAACCATCCTTGTAAGCAAGCCCCAGCAGAAGTCATAAAAAGAAGCAAATGGGTGGTAGAATCACAACCAACAGACACACACACACACACACACACACGTCTGCACACTCTCTATAAAGGGAAAGGGTCGTCTGCACAATTCCCATTTCTTCTACTTGGAAGCACCCTCAAAAAACAACCACTACCAAATCAAGATCTGCTTGTTATTCAGTGAATTACATCAAAATGAGTCCTAGACTTTGAAGTACATTAAAGTTTCAAACCTGTTGTGGCGTCGCATGGTAAAGTTGATGTCCCTTCCTACCCCGGTACATTTTCGAAGCTTGCTGCACAAAAAGGTCCTGTAAGTTCTCTCAGCACTTGCCGCTGCTCTGCTCACGTGTCTGGCTGCATGTTGCCAGGTCGCTGGCCAGTTTGTGGTCTTCACGGCGCCACCACACATCCCCTGAGCACTTTCACGTTCTTCTGGTTTATCCACACCATCAACATCAAGTTGGACATGTGGTTTTGAAGGTTCTTGGTCACCAGCAGTTATAGATGATAGTTCATTTATATCACTCCCAATACATTAGGTGGATAAGCTACCGGCAGCAGACTACTAATTTCTGCTTTCAAACATTAGGGCATTAAAAAAAAAAAAAAAAAGGAACATTCACTTGTTCCGTAATTAAACCGTCCAACAACTTAGGAAGTTAGATGAATCCATTCACAGTATAAAACTTGCTCTCAGCAGGCCCATAATAAATATAGACCAGTACAAATCCCACTTCCTACTTTTGTTCCTAAGCTTGTATTCTGGTTTGCAAAAGACAAAACATTCAACAGGTTGAGCAGCTTGGAATGACTCACCCCGTCTGTTCTCCCTACAGTTGGAGATTGTGCAGTAGTCCATTAATTGGTCACAAGACCTATTCGTATGCCTTTAGGCAAATGCAGTGACTTCCCTTCAGCTGCAAGGTTGCTCTGACATTGGCCACAACACCCTTTTTTTAATGGCTGTCATGTGAACAAGTGTCAGCTGACTGACTGGCCTTACTATGCAACCTTGCAAAATTCTACCCAGAGCAACTGAAAGATGGTTACCCAGAACAGCCTATCGCCAAATGAAGGGCTTAATATAATGCAGTATAGAAGGTTATATGGGGCAGGAGAGTAGGGACGCTTCTTGCTTTAGTTATAACAATGAATGAGTAATCATATTTAAAAGAACCAAGCCATGATGTGAATGTTCCTACAACAAGCTTTCACACACACTTGTCCTGCCCCCACCCGCTTCAATCACTACAGAAGCTTTAACACCCTATATTAACACTCCAGGCAATGTGACTCACCACATGTCTTAAACAGAAAGCACTTTGGAGACTTTCAAAAAGTGAAAACGCTATTTCCTTTGCTCGTCCCCCTAATAGCCAGTAACTCCAGAGCCCAGTATCTGATAAAATGCATTAAGGTATAATAAAGTAAATCAAAACCACCACTGCTGTACTATATGACCCCAAGCCTCCTTATAGTCACATGAGATTTCTAAGTTTCATCATTAAATGGAAAACAAGTCATAATTACATTATCACAACCATTCTTCTGAGAAACTGGAGCAGCTGACAGAGAAACTTTAGAGAATAGTACATTTAGACATGTGGAGCCGGGAAGTCTGTTCCTCTCGTACTCCAATCTCCTTGCTTTCTCAATCACCTCTTTCCTGCAACAGGAGCTGACGCACTCCTCACTATCATGCTGTGTATTGTTCTCATGCAGTATACTTTATCATCGATCCTGTTTGCATCTCTATTCAATTCTATTTCCTTCCCCACTTCATCCATGAAACACAGAAAGCAAATTGGATTTTCCAAAGTTTACACACACGTTGAGAACAATGCTGTAGTCACTGACTGGACTCCCACACTCCACCTGTAGTCCAGTGTCTGACTGGAACCGTTACAGCCACCACGGATGCTTTCAAAGTGCGGACGCTGAAAGGGATGGCCAGAGGTATGGAAGTACTAAGAATCTATGTGATATATAAAACGAAGCCCTGTGCAGTAGTAGATATGCGCTGGGCTGCTAAACACATGGTCCGCAGTTCAAAACCACCGGCAGCTCTGCTGCAGAAAGATGGGACTTTCTAATCCTATAAAGAGCTACCATCTCAGAAATGCACAGGTACCATTCAACGCTGCTTGCTATGAGTCAGCACCAACTTGATGTCAGTACAGTAAGTCTGATTTTGGGGGAGTTTGGTGACATAAGGGAGGTTTATTGTTTCAACTTTACAGCTATTCTTGGTACTGTTTCTAAGATTAAGTTTACAAGTCAAGAAATGGCAGGCATACCAAATAGATCAGAGAATGCAATTATCTGATTGTCAGGATAATCACCCACTCTCTTTCACCCAAGAACCTGAACACCATTCTGCTATGGCCAGATTCCTCTCTAAATCCTTCGGCTCCATGACTCCTCAGCCAATCTATTCAAGATTTGGCACTTGGGGATGGGGGTGGTAATTCCCATGTCTGATTTAGAGACTGGAATATGAAAATCCAGAAAGTTCAAAGTAGTTCATGTACGAGGTTTAGAATTTCGTGTTACCCAAAAAATTTAGTCCCAGTTCCCAAGAGACGTAAACTCTTCAAAGAAACAAAGCTTGGAATATAGGTGTCTTCAAAAAAGACTCCTAACTATACCTAAGTGACAGGTCAAACCAGTAAGGGGATGACTCAGGGACAAGGGCTGGCCAGGCCCACCACGTGATACCATGGTCACCTCGTGATACTGACTGACCTCCGGAGAGAGAAGTTATGGTTTGCATGACCTCCTTAGAACTCCTAACACAAGCTCTGGGCCCAGAAGCTCTATGGGCTTCCTAGTTGGTGGCAGTACAGCATGTGCCTGACATCTGACTGTGGGGCCTGGAAGCGGCACACTAGGAACTCTCTCTCCCAGAGCCTGCCTTTTCATTTGTACCCTTTATTGCAATAATGCACTTGGAATCTTAAGTAACCGAGCCCTCTGTGTGTTCTCTGAGTAATTCCAGCAAATTGTCAGAACCAAAGGAGAAGTGAGAGCCATAGGAGGAGGTCAGAAATGAAAGGGCTGGGAACCCCTGGTCTCCTGAAAGGCTAGCCTCCTGAGGGGACGGAGAAAATCCCCAGACTTATAGCCACTAGGTCAAAAGTAAGGGAACCTAGGGCCCTCTGGTGATTGGAGCTGGCATCCTGGAGGGGGTCATGTGAAGATCTCTGATTTGTAGCCAGCAGGTCAGAAGCAAGGAGCTTGCAACTTGGCACTGGAAGTCTTGGGCTCATGTGGCAGTCTGCAGGGCTGTGTCCTGGCTCTGGGTGTCTAGAGTCAGAGAAAGATGTGCTGCGTGGACACGCAGAGTAAAACTACAGAGAAACGTGAAAAGTGGGTGTTTGGATCTGATGCTGGGATTTAAGACTTCTCTATGCAAATCAATACCTTCCTGTATTCGTTCTAGCTTATACTTGGAGTGATAAAAAGTAGCAATTGCTATATGTCATAAAAAAAATTAACTGCCATAATTCACAATTGAGAGAAGTGGGTTGTAAGGGGAGAAAAAGCCTAAAGTCTAGTGTTTTAAAAACAAACAAAACACAATTGCTAGCAAGTCATTGAAAACTCATGAAAATCCAATGTGCAACAGAATAAAAGGATGTGCTACAGGGGTTCCACTGTCTGGCTTTTCAGAAGTCTATTTCTAGATCTTTTCGTCCAAGGCGCTTCTGGAGGGACCCCAGCACATTCACGGTCTCCAGCACGGAGAGAGGGCTCACACAGACTGTTGTGAGTGCCCGCGGGCAGCTCGGACTCACAGCTACCATCTGTGACAGGATGAAATGCAGAGCAGGCCTTCCTAACAAGTTGTGTTTGTGCCCATTGTTGCAGCCACCGTGTCAGTTCGTCTTGGTGAGGGCCTTCCTCTCTCTGCTGACCCTCTGCTTGACAAAATATGGTATTCCTTTCCAAGAGATCCTCCTTCACGTACATGTCCAACGTACGTGAGACAAAGTCTCACCATTCTCTTTCTAAGGCGCATTCGGGCTGTACCTCCTTCCTAGACCAATCTGTTTGTTCCTCTGGCAGTCAATGATACTTTCATCATTTTTTGCAACACCATAATTCAGAAAGATTAAAAAA